CACAGGCTCCGGACGCGCAGGCTCAGCGGCCATGGCTCACGGGCCCAACCGCTCCGCGGCATGTGGAATCTTCCCGGACCAGGGCACGAATCCTTGTCCCCTGCATCGGCAGGCGGACTCTCAACCACTTGCGCCACCACGGAAGACCTATTTTGTTCTTTTTTATGGCTGAGTAATATTCCTGTAAATGGAATGTGTTTCTATTCACTAATCATCAAAATTCTTTACCAGTGGTTTCTTGTTTTGTTTTTTTTTTTTTTTGCAGTACGCAGGCCTATCACTGTTGTGGCCTCTCCCATTGCGGAGCACAGGCTCCGGATGCGCAGGCTCAGCGGCCATGGCTCACGGGCCTAGCCGCTCCGCGGCATGTGGGATCCTCCCGGACCAGGGCACGAACCTGTGTCCCCTGCATCAGCAGGCAGACTTTCAACTCCTGCACCACCAGGGAAGCCCCACCAGTGGTTTCTTATATCTACTTTTTCTGAACTTACAAATGTTTAACTTGATTTTAAATTTCAATCCATTATATACTGTTTGTCTCCCAAAGACACCATAGTTTTTAAAAAGTCTTTCAAATTAAGTCCAAATATAAAATTCACATAAAGAGCAACCAAATGAATCTGTGTAATGGTACTCTGGGGCACAGTTGTCAATTACGGGTGTGACTTCATACTTACATACATTTGAATTTTTGTGCCATACTTTTATTTCATTTTTTTTAAAAAAGACAGCTTTTTTATTGAGATATACTTTACATACTATACAATTCACCTATTTAAAGTATATATAACTCAGTGGATTTAGTTTATTGACAAAGTTGTACAGTCATTACCACAGTCAATTTTAGAGCATTTTTATCCTCCCAACACTCCCCTCTCACACCTGTTAACAGTCACCACCACCACAATCCCCAGCTCTAGGCAACCACAATTTATTTACTTGCTGTCTATAAATTTGCATATTCTGGACATTTTATATCAATGGAGTCGTACAATATGTGGTCTTTTGTGACCAACTTCTGTCACTTAGCATATTGTTTTCAAGGTTCATCCATGTTGTTTCATGTACAGTACTTCATTCCATTTTATGGCTGGGTAAAGTATGGATATTTTACTTTGTATCCATTCATTAGTTGATGAGCATTTGGATTGTTTCCACTCTTTGACTATTAAGAAGAATGTTGCTGTGAACATTTATGTACAAGCTTTTTGGTAGGCATATATTTAAGTTTCTCTTAGGGTATATACTTAGGAGTGGAATTGCTGAGATATATGGTAACTCTGTATTTAACCTCTTGAACTGTGAGGCTGTCTTCCAAGCACTTGCATCATTTTCCATTCCCACCAGCAGAGTAGGAGAGTTCCAGTTTCTCCCCATCCTCGCTAGCACTTCCTACTGTCTGTCTTTTTCATTGTAGCCATTCTAATGGGTGTGAAGTGGTATCTCATTGTGGTTTTGATTTCTATTTTGCTGATGGCTAATGATGTTGAGCATCTTTTCACGCACTTATTGGACATTTGTATACCTTCTTTGGAGAAATATCAGTTCAGATCCTTTGTCATTCTGAAATTGGATTATTTGTCTCTTTGTTATGGAATTGTTAGAGGCTTTTATATGTTATAGGTGTAAGTCCCTTATTAGACATATGACTTGTAAAGATTTTCTTTTGTTCTGTGGGTTGCCTTTTCACTTTCTTGATGATGTCCTTTGAAGCACAAAGTTTTAAAATTTGATAGAATCCAATTTATCTATTTTTTTCCTGTTATTGCTGGAACTTTTGGTGTCATATCTAAGAAACTGTTGCTTAATTCAAGGTCATTAAAATTTGTGTCTGCTTTCTTCTCAGAGTTTAATAGTTCTAGCTCTTACATTTAGTCTTTGATTTTTTTTTTTGAGTAAATTTTTATATGGTGTGAGTTGGGGGTCCACCTTCTTTTTTTTGCATGTGGATATCCAGTTGTTCTGGTACCGTTTGTTGTAAAGACTATTCTTTCCCCCATTGAATTGTCTTGGCACCTGTGACAAAATCAATTTACTAAAGATTTTATTTTTTGGACTCTGAATTCTATTCCACTGATCTACATGCCAAGCCTTAACGATAGTACCACACTGTCTTCATTACTATTGCTTTATAGTAAGTTTTGAAGTTGGTAATTGTGAGTCTTCCAACTTTGTTTTTCTTTTTCAAGAATTTTGTGTGTGGGTGGGTCCCTTGAATTTCCATATGAGTTTTAAGATCATTTTGTCAATTTCTGCAAAGAAGACAGCTGGAATTTTGATGGATTTATTCCATTTTGTAAGTAGTTATAGCATTGTCAATAGGAAAAGAAATAATATTTATTTAGAGTAATTTCCTGGTTTTCCCTTTTCTTTTGGAAAAAACCTATGAAATTCCTACCCTCTTAAGCTGCTCCAAGATTATTTAAATGCTATTATCACTATCTTCACTTTTATTGTGAAACTCTTACTGGCAAATTGAATAGAGTTCTTTTCCCCTAGTTGCCAAGATACACATCAAGAAAATACATTTTGTTTGCCTAATTTGTATTTACCAAACAATAGTTGTTCTTTTATATTAGCTTCTTAAAGATTGAAGGACCTTATAATGAGGAACCTAACAGTAGGGGTCTCTGCAGTAGGAAAGCTGATGGATAAAACTCTTAGGTAGAATGGAGAAGTCTGCCTACAGCTCCACACCTCCAGGATGTAATATCACAATCTTATTAAAAATGAAATCAGATGAAGATTTATTACTGATAATTATTTTAGTGATAATATTATTTTCTAAACAATTTACTTTAAGAATATTTTTGAATGTAATCTACCAAATATTGTAATTGAAATATGATACATGATTATTTTGAATTAAATAGGGTGAAAAAATTTTTAGAAATTAACAGGGAATCAAGAGAGTGTCTGGTACACCAAAGCACCCAGTAAATATTGGTTGAATAAAGGAAAGAATGAAAAGAAGCCCCTACATGAATCACTGCTTTTAAAGCCCAGGCCCCTACCTTAGGGATGATTGTAGATAATCCCTCAATTCAAAAGGATAAATCCTGCTTTCAGGGTAGATTGTTTTTCAGTGTTTCCAATTTTCTTAAAGGATAACCTGAGTGTTTCACATTTTTGCAGCGTTTATGTCATGGTTGGTGCCGACGTTCCATTTTCTTCTTGTTTACGAGAAGTTGAAAATCCTCAGAATCAATTGAGATGCAGTCAAGAAATGGAGCCTGTAATAACGTGTGATAAAAAATTTCGTACTCAGTTTTATATCGACTGGTGCAAAATTTCGTTGGTGAGTTTTTATTTTGTTTTTGCAAATGGAATTAGAAGTGATGTGGCTGGAGATAGCATTTGACTAAAACCTGAACTGCTTTTAGGAACAAATCCTGGGTTTACTTTGTTAACTGCCGTTGACTTCCCTTGACTTTAAGGATTTGGCAAGTCCGTTGAAAGCGCATCCATTTAAGAACTAGTACCTCCACTTTTGTACTCAGTCTACTCTTGATTAGTTGTGGGGGCCAGATTAGCTTGGCAGGTGGTCCAAGTGTTCCCGCTGGACATCCAGGTGGCTGCTAAGTCCAGATAGATTTTGGAGTCAGTGTGACATGTGCAGGAAGCCTCAGACATGCTGCCACTGTCCCACTTGGGAAGGGGAGACCAGAATACAATCACAAATCTGAAATAAAGCAATATTGTACTATGACTCAATGTCCTAGAAACGCAGATTGAAGGGAGAGACCAAGCAATAAAAGGAAAAGCAGAGGAAAGTTAGACTCTTACCCCAGCCCTGTAAATATTAAATATTTCTTTCTAAATCACTTTTTTATTAGCATGTTCAAAGACTTAGGAACATATGGGTAAGATTTCCTGTATGTGAAAGGTATATATGATATTTTATATATAAGTTATATTAAATTTTTTGATCCTCCTTTCTGGAAGATAGGAAAGTTGTTTCACTTCTTTAGCGACCTTTAGATTTAACTTCTGTCAACTCTTGATGATTGGTGGTGAGTGAATTAGGTCTAAGTTTAAAGTTGACATGTGAACAAATATCAACACATAAACACAACTGTCACTTCATGTCTTAGAGAACCAGCGGCAGGCACTTTTCCCAGATCCAGGATGGGAGAACATACTGCTCACACTGTGGCACTTAGCACCTGTGGCCCTTGGCCCCAGGCTCCTCTTTCCATGTCGCTGTGTCTTAGGAAAATAATGCTCTTTCCCTGTCTTCTCAAATCAAGTAAAATTATTCAGATGCTGTGGTTTATGTGTATTATTTACAAAGCTCAATATTTCAGTCATCATGCTAACCATACAAGGGTGCTAAAGACTGAGTGGCTGCAATCATAACTTAAATAGATGCCTCTCACCAGAGCCAGTAGACAGCGGGCCCTGACAACACCATTTTATTTGTGCTTGTGCTGTACAGTGTTCATGTTTAGGAAAATTATCTAATTTCTAAAGGTTTAAAGATGACTTCTTTGAAGATTTAAATTTCTGTGGTAAGACTTCATAAGAGAAAGCTTGGGAATTTTCGGTTTTTTCTTTTACTTGTATTTATTTATAGGTCACATCTTACCACAGAAGATTTCAGGGGGTTTAAATTAAAGGGTCAGACAATAAACATAATACATAAAATATAAAAGAACTGGAAAATCAGGACCTAAACTTGACCAAAACATAAGCCTAAGGTCAAGTTTGACAATAAGCCTCCTAATGTCCCAGATTAAATGAGGAAATTCATCTGTTATTTGGTTCTCATTCTTAAAGGAGGCAGAGCATCAATTCCTTGGCAGAAGATAAAGTTTTTACTAGCACTGTATCATTAACAAAATTCTTCCAGTGGAGTTTTATGGGAGAGGATACTGAGAAATGCCACAGATAATTCTCCCCAACATTCTTTCAGGCTGCGAGCAAATGTAGTAACAAGTTTCACATGGCTATTTTTGTAGTGCCCTTCAGTAAAAACCTTAGCATAATTAAATGCAACATAGTGAAAGCAGTTCAATTACTGTGGAGGTAAATTAATATAGTCCAACTGTTGTACATTTTTTGAGCCTGGAATAGAATTTATTGAAACTGTAGCATTGGATGGGTTACCTGTTCCTTAAACTATCTTTCCTAAAAACTACTTCTGTCAGCTGGATGGCAGAAAGATCAAGGTTGTAGTCACGTAGAAATTGTCTCTCTCTCTCTTTTTTTTTTTCTCTATTACTAACCTTAGAAACCATACTCACATACTGTGAGTATGAACTGGCTGTGAAGTCAGCCAGTTCACAGTTTGTAACATCTGCACTAGAGATTTGTCACTAGGAAACAAGAAATATACAGAGTGGTGTGAAGGACTTCTGCTTTGGAGGAAGTAAACTGAAAAAGAACAACTGTACACACACACACCTACACATGCACACGTACTTGTTATATTTGTATACGTTTATGTATGTATATATGTTGTGGGAAGGACCTAGAAAGTAGGCCAATATACACCCTTTAATTTATTACTTTTATGCATTACTTCTTCCTAGTTTCCATAAATAATTACAAGTTCAAGGTGATAAAGTAATTGGAAAAGATTGCTTTTTAGAAATTAGTCAAAGACTGTCTTGATATGTCTAGATCTTAAACTCTCATAATGTTTGCAACTATTAATTTGATGTGTAATTGTCTTCTTTTGTGTCAGGTTGATAAAACAAAGCAAGTGTCCACCTATCACGAAGTGATTCGTGGAGAAGGGATTTTACCTGATGGTGGAGAATACAAACCCCCTTCCGATTCTTTGAAAAGCAGAGACTATTACACGGATTTCCTAATTACACTGGCTGTGCCCTCGGCAGTAGCATTGGTCCTTTTTCTAATACTTGCTTATATCATGTGCTGCCGACGGGAAGGAGTGTGAGTACTTTAAATCACTAATAAAAAATTATAGAGCTACTAAGATAACATATAAGATTCCATTAAAAGCCAAGTTTCATTTAGTGCATAAAACACTTTATAAATGAATTGAAATTGTGTTCAAGTCAAACTACAGTACTTTATTCCTTTAAAATGAAGTAAAATAGTTTTGAGTCTAGTAAATTAAATTAGAGGTTATAATTACTTTATTCAAAAATTATTAAGGCTAGATGTAAATTCTTGCAGGCAAAACAGTCCCAAGAATAACTGAGGCTAGATATTTTGGTTATACAAGCCATCCTGTGTAAGCAGAGACTGCGGAATCTATTGACATGGTAATTGCACTTTAAATAAATAAATTGTCTCAGTCAGTTTGATCAGAAATGATGGTCAGAATTTTTCTTGAAATTGTTCTGCTATCAAACAGGGCGATACCACCTAAATATTTAAAGGTATATATAGATATATAAAAACTTAGGAGTAAATTAATGAAAATAAGATGATAATTTGAGTAATGAGTCTTCACTTCATGAATAGTTAGTACTTTCTGGACATCTCTGTCAATTAAAATAATCTCCCGAGATTATCTGGAAGTCAGGGTAACAAAACAAAGGATAAAAAATTAATAAAGCAGCAAGTAACAAGTTCTTCCATTTTTACATGTAGCCTGATTTCATCATGTCATGGAACTTATTTCCAAGAGCTTGATTCTTAATCTCCATTTTTTTTTTCATTTTTTCCTGTGCGTTTCTCACCAGTATTCCATCTCTGTATGTGTACTCATCCAAGTAACGTCATAAACCTGGTGGCAAATGCTGCCTGGTTGCGTTTAATAGTAACAGTGTCAGCATTTCCACCTCATGCAAGATCCATGAGCATATAGTCTTAATGTTCCAAATATCAATGCTATTATTTAATTCATAAATTTTGTTTTGTTTCTAGGGAAAAGAGAAACATGCAAACACCAGAGTAAGTGTCTTCTTCCTGTTATTTTCTTTTTCATTTCTCAGTTGCTTCTCATGCTCCATACATGTGTGTCATGCTTTTTTTTCCCCCCATTCATCATCTTTCATAGTTTATTTCATAAATGTGAAAGCTGCTTTCTAAATAGAGATATTTAGGAGGGGTGATACTAAAAATAAAAAGTGTGTGAAAACTAAGATTATATAGATAAAAATTAAAACTAAAATATTTCAGATTCAGCATATTAACTTGCCATTTATATTATGTGATTTCCCAATCTGCATTTCTATAAACCAGAGAACAGATGAAAAGACCTTTCATACACGTTTTCCTGAATCTACAGTAATAACCTACCATAAAATGAAACTTCTGTGAGTATTTATAAATGCCCCATCAGAAGCAACAATATAAAAGCTATGGTAGTTTTATCTTAATCGTAGAAATTAAATAGAATAGTAGTTTGCTACCTAGGGCTGTAATAGTAACGCAGTGCTTTATAGCTTACTTTAATGAGAGATGCATTTATTTAAAAATCAGTTTCTGATTTTCAGTTTTGTTATGTTAAAAGTATATGAAATGTATCTTTTTCTGAAATAACTTGTAGAATGCCCAGAGTTAAATGATGTCTTCTTATTTTAAAAAGAAAAAATGATTTTGTAACTTTTTCAAACTGATGACCTGTGGGGCTAATATGTGATTTTAAATATATGTGGTTTTATTTCTTTTTGACCTAGCATCCAACTGGTCCATCATAGTGCTATTCAGAAATCTACCAAAGAACTTCGTGACATGTCCAAGAATAGAGAGATAGCATGGCCCCTGTCAACACTTCCTGTGTTTCACCCTGTGACTGGGGAAATCGTACCTCCTCTACACGCAGACAATTATGAGAGCACTAATATGCCATTGATGCAAACACAGCAGTAAGTATCCACTTGGAACCGTAATTATTATTATTTTTAAAAATTTTTTATTTATTTATTTTTGGCTGCGTTGGGTCTTCGTTGCTGCGCGTGGCATTTCTCTAGTTGTGGCAAGCTGGGGCTACTCTTCATTATGGTGTGCGGGCTTATTGCAGTGGCTTCTCTTGTTGCGGAGCATGGGCTCTAGGCATGCGGGCTTCAGTAGTTGTGGCACGTGGGCTCAGTAGTTGTGGCTCGCGGGCTCTAGAACACAGGCTCAGTAGTTGTGGTGCATGGGCTTAGTTGCTCCGTGGCATGTGGGATCTTCCCGGACCAGGGCTCGAACCCGTGTCCCCTGCATTGGCACGCAGATTCTTGACCACTGCACCACCAGGGAAGCCCCTGGAACCGTAATTATTAATGCATGAATATATCTACTTAATGTCTTTCAAGACCAGACGTCTTCATTGTTGTTGCATTTATTTGTTTATAACTGGAGGAGAAAATAGCAAAATACTGATAGTGTAGATCCCAACCCCATGGTGCTAACCCAAATAAATAGAATTACCTTCAGGAAATGCTTTTTTTCCTTCACTAATCCAAACAAGATGACATTCCTCTTAATATTTAAGAAACTGGCACTGCTAATAAACTAACATATGCTTGCTCAAAGATGAGTTAATTGTGAAAAGAGAGGCATGTCCTAAAGCATAGCAAATGGATTACTTTTTAGAACTATTAGAATTGTTTGGTTCTGTTAACCTATTGTTTTTAATGTTATTACCACAGATCTATTTAATCTAAATTTTTTGCCTCAGGGTTTTCAGCGTTTTTTTGTTTGTTTTTTTGTTTGTTTTTTTGTTTTCAGCGTTTTTTTGTCATTTGCTTATATATCAAAATGAGTAGTTCCAATTTTGGCTCAAAACACAATTTATTAGTGCAGACCTTCTCTGTAGTGCTAGAAGGACTATGGTTAGAAAGCCTGGGAAGAGGCCTTTGTAAGGGATAGGTGTGGAGGAGATTGGTTGAGGAGACTGGTCAGTTGCTCTTGAGAACCCATGTTATATGTCTAGAAGCTCGGTTTTGGTATAAGGGAATTGTAGGTAAAAGTGTCATTTATTTCTAAGAACATGGCTGTTCTTTTCTTTTTTAACCATATGTTAAAATGCGTTAAATTCAGTTTCCCCAAGGAAGTCACGGTTTGCTTTTGAGATCCTCCTTTTCAGTTTACTCTTGTAAATACAATGGATATACAAAAAAATCTGGCCCTCTCACCCCAACACACACACACACACACAAACGTTAGGATATGATATAAAAGTAACCTCTTACTGATTAAAGATTTATTTGGGAACCATATTGGGTGTATTTTTCCATTGCAAATGCTTATTTTGCAACCGTGTAAAGAGCATGTGGTAATTTGAAGATTAAACAGTAATTAATATGAGTATTATAGACAGTCAGACTATAAGTTTGTCCAAAATAGTTTGGCAATCTAAAAATATTGTGAAAGCGCGCCCAGCTAGCTCGGTAGAGAATGAGACTCTTAAAAGTATTATGAATATTTTCCTGAAGTCCTCTAACAACACGTACTTACTGTTGGACAGACCAAGGTATGTGTTTGTGTGCATGTATGTGTGTGTGTGTTTGTGTGTAATTGATTCAAGTTCCATTAGCAGTAGGGAAAATTGCATACATTTAAAATTTTGAGTTTTGGAAACAATATTCTATCAGGGATGTAGATATTAAAGTCTCACAAAATTGAGTTGTACTGAATGGAACTGATGGATTTCTATGTCCTCTGATGGTTAGAGGGTCATCATGAAACCTACTTTACCAGGATTATTAGATACTGATGAGAAAAATTAGGAAAATTTCAAGAATATTGTAATAGTTCACAATTTAGCAATCTCTCCTGTCTTTTTTTAGATGACAATTATGAGCAGCCTTATCATTCATTTTCAAAATGAAAATAATTAAAGAATTCTTTAATGCTTCCATTTCTTATGTTCTTTACCCAAGAATGCTAGTGAAATGTCGATATTTATTCTTCAAAGGTTGATCTATATTTTCAAACATGAAATGGTCAAATACATTTGAGAAACAGGGTGTTTTGTTTTTTGTGTTTAAACTAGAAGAGTTCTCAGAGCCTTTAGTGTGTTGATGTGCTTTGTGAAAAGCACGGAAAAGATCGGAAGAGGTAACTCTATTTAAAGAACGCAGTTTGGGAAATCTCCTATTGACAAAATAACAATGCTATCAAATTTTAGAGGAGAGAAATATTCATTATAATGAATAGGGGAACTTGAATATGTTTTTAAGTCAGTAAAAATTTAAGGGAGGAAAAAAAGCCTGGGTCACTTTTTAGATACGCTTTCTGACCATATTTGTTGGGAATAAGGATAACTCTTTAAATTTTATTTTGATTCTATGTTCCTAGGACTTTGCAATTTTGCTACTAATATACAAGCAAAAGAAAACTTCCTACCTAGTTTATAACTAAATGCATCTTCCTGGTCCTTCCATAACCCCATCAAGACTGTCCTTATGTTGATCAGATCTCTCTGTTTGCAAATGCCATAGGTTATTTTATTGAACTTGCAACAATTTGACCATACATGTATTTTTAAGTCCAGAAAACCTTTATATTATTCAGATTTCTGCTAATGGAAAAAGTCCAGTACATAGATAATTGATGATGTTCACAATGATTATTCTGAGGCACTGCAAGATCATCAAGTGTGTCTGACTCATCAGAGGAAAATTAAATTACATTCAATATAGTTTCAGTGTTGAGTTTATATTATCTTTCTTTTATTCTTGGAAATGGATAATATGTGCACGGTCTCTATGGTAACTCCCTATAAGCCAGAATATGTGATTAACCTCATTTTCCAACCATGCCAGATAATAGAGAATTTATTGTTTCAGATTCATCACAACTGTCCTTTACGCAAATTCAGCTTTTACTCCTTCCCTGTTTTCGAAGGTTTATTTTAGCCCAAGTACACACATACATAAATATTTTGGTCATTTGGATCGAACTGAATTCTCAATGTTAAAATGAGATATTCGATGAGGTATCACAATACTTGATAACCAGGTATATCCTTGGATAATGCTGCCTGTTATTTATTAATTAACCCTCTCTAAAAGGGCATGCATCTTCACATATTCATACTAACTGTACTGAATTTATCATTCATAAATAATGTGGCTAGCTACATTATTTTGTGTTTATTCTTCAGACTTGACAGCAGAAATATTCAGGCATAATAGGGCTGAAAGTTTATGTAGGCTTCTAAGTAAGACTCAAGAACATTCAAAGCTTTCCTTCAGAGCTGCATAGAAACTTGTTTGGGTCTTTTAAACAAGTCAGTCCACCAGGTGTAGCGAACCTCGTAACAGCGAAGTCTATAGAACTCGTAGCAGTTGTGTAACGGGAGGCTGCCACAGTTATTTATCAATTACACAGTAATCTTTTCTTTTTGGTAGAATGCTTCATAGGACTCCAGACTGGCACCTTAAATTAGACAGTAAAAAAATGTTTAATCATTTGCAGATGATAAAATCGAGATATGGATAAGAGACCTAAATTAGGTCAAAACTGAGATTAGGTTATTTACCAATCTTGATATCAAGTCAAGGATAGATAATGTGGTCATTGACCTCGAAGGATTTCTGATTCAGGTTATGGGCAAGGTGATTGAACAGATAGTGGAAAGGGAAACTGGAGCAGGCCCAGGAGACGGGACACCTGCTAGAAAGGGGGGATTTCATTTTGTACAGTGTTCCTTCTACTTTTCAGATCAGAGAGACAATATAGACAGACTTTTAAAATTATCACATAATATAAAAATATAAGGCAAATTAATTTTGATCTTTGCTAACATATTTATTGTTTCATAAACTTTTTTTAAATAAATTTATTTATTTATTTTTAATTTGGGCTGTGTTGGATCTTCGTTGCTGTGCGTGGGCTTTCTCTAGTTGCAGCAAGCGGGGACTGCTCTTCGTTGTGGTGCACGGGCTTCTCATTGCAATGGCTTCTCGTTGTGGAGCATGGGCTCTAGGCGCGTGGGCTTCAGTAGTTGTGGAACATGGGCTCAGTAGTTGTGGCTGTGGGCTCTAGAGCGCAGGCTCAGTAGTTGTGGCGCACGGGCTTAGTTGCTCCGCGGCATGTAGGATCTTCCCAGACCAGGGCTCGAACCCGTGTCCCCTGCATTGGCAGGAGGATTCTTAACCACTGCGCCACCAGGGAAGCCCTCATAAACTTTTTAATTTTGAAGTGATTTTCAAGCTACAGAAAAGTTACAAAGATAATACAGGGTTCCCAGAGATTCCCCCACCCCATTTCTCCCATCGTTAACATCGTACAGTCCCTTAGTTTGTCACAACTAAGAAACCAACATTGGTGCTTTACTATCAACCAGACTTCAGATTTTTTTTTTTCAGATTTCACAAGTTTTCCCCCCGATGTGCTTCTTCTGCTCCAAGATTCTGTCTAGGACACAATAATTGGCATAACTCTTTAGTCTCTTATGCTCTAGGCAGTTTCTTAGACCGTCCTTGCTTCCCATGACCTTGACAGTCTTGAGGAGCACTAGCCGTGTCTTCTGTAGAGTGTCCCCCATCCCACAGTATAGTCAGGCTGCCTGCATCTGTACTTAATCTGTTATCTTTGTAGCTCAGTGAATACATGTTACCATTAATAGGAAGAAGAATTTTTGCCTCTATAGGCGGTCCCCTGACTTATTACAATTCATTGCTAGAAATCACATTCTAAAGTAATTCTTAAAAGTAAATTTGCCTTGCCCGAAGAATCATTGTTGTGATTAGAGGTTACGTTTTTGACCAAAGATGTAACATCAAAAATATAATACAGATTTGACTGATGTACTTCAAAGATAAGCTTTTGTAATGATTTAAATTAAGAAAGTCAAATTCCAAGGCATAGAATTTTAGGTCCTAAAAGGAATGTTGAGAGATAGTAGTCTAGCCTGGTTATTCCCAAACCAAGT